AACCCACAGTCTAAAGAAATGGCATTTGTAAGGTCCTGAAAAGACACTACTATAAAATGGGAAGGGGGAAAAAAAGGGACACCCCTCAGCAAACCCTACTTTCTTAAAAAAAAAAAAAAAAGAAAGAAAGAAAGAAAGAAAAGAAACCCTGTGGCAGAGTTTCTTTATGTAATTAAAAGCTCATTTTGAAATTAGACTGCCATCTCCCCCCAAACTCAGCTAACAGGAAACTGAAAAGAATAATGATATTTTAGGTGAGATGCATTAAGTGTATTTCTAAGTAGACAATACATTGAGTAGTAGCTTTTACTTACAAAAGATAAACAATTTGTGAATCATTCCAGGCTTTAAAGGTATGGGGGTGGTTACCACCAAGAAAATGCAGAAATTATGTACGTTGTCAAGTGTTTATATTTATCATAAGACCTAGAGTGGAACCCAGTTACAAAGTGTAATTTGATTTTAAAAAAATGATGTCACTGGGGCTTGGTGCTTGCTGCCAAACTTGAAGGCCTGAATTCAGATACAACCCCCTATACTCACACTCTCTCACACACATACGCACAATGTAATATTAATTTTTTTAATAAAGAAAATGATCTCATTTCTTTCAAGGCAGACTCCAGCCATCCCTTCCTCCCTCATTTAAAGTAACCTGCCTGAGAAAGGAAAGGCGTGCCCACCTGACAGGCCCCTTTCCCAGAAAGGTTCTGTTGCCAACGTGACCGTGACCACCGTGACAGTCCTGGGACCATGTCCCTCCTCGAGAGCTGACTCCCTACACTAGCAGGTTGGATATCAAAGCATACCACTGAGGCTTCCCTACACGTGTGAACATGATAGAACAAAGGAAAGACAGCAGGCCACCCTGGGCGCTACTGAAGGTGAAGGGAGCGAGTAGGCGGTGGTCATTTGGTTAATGTTTCTGAGCTCTGCCTCGGAGTGGTCTGAAAAACTACCCCTTAGCAACTGTACCCGGAACAACCTTCTGTAGACTCTGGGCGCTAGGTGCTCGAAGGGTTAGGCTAACCCTGCAGAAAGTGACCATCAGGTACGTCTGAAAAGAGGTGACAGCCATGCCCGCTGTTACAGCTAATGAGCCAAACAGGGACACCTGGGGATGGGAAAAAATTAATTACAAATATATGCCAGCAAACTACCTGTTAGTGTCTACCTGTGAGCATCTAAGACTAAATGGCGCCTAATTTCTCTTCTTTCCCTTTGATCACACAAGCGGGCCCTGGGAAATTTCTGATGCCTTCTTTTCTTACAGCCCCCCGCACCCCCCCTTCCCCAGTCCTTAATGGAGATCTTGAACCACAGAGCCACCGTGTCAGAACTCAGACGGTTAACATTCACTCCTTGCTGTTTTATTGCATATTACTGTGCGCGCCTGAGCAGCGGGAGCAGATTCGGGCAATTACAATCAAGTCAGGGCACACGCCGCGGCGGAGCAACACGAGCATGATGAGGATACTGATGAGGCACTTATCGAAAACCCCACATCATCCACACTCATCAGCCACAACATGTCACCCCAAATGAGGCATCAGCTGCCTTCAAAAGGCTCATTGCACCGTGTTTACCGCTTCCCTCGGACCCACTTTTGATTTTACGGTCAGAACTGGGTTCAAACAGCAGCTGTCTGGCAAGAGCCGGCCTGGGCTCCTCGCAGCTTCCCCCAGAGTCGCCAGGCTTTGTCTAGGGAGCTTTGGGAAACAGAGGCTGGCGGGGCAAAGAGAGATGTGCGCGAGAAGGCGGCAAAGTGTCCAGTTCCGTTTCTCTCAAAGAGGAATCCCTTTCCTAGAAGGGGCCCTTGATTAATTTCAAGCACTAGCACACAGTGGTGGCCTAATGGGGGTGGGGGAGGGACACGAAACAAGGAGCCTTTCACAGATCCCCTTAAAATAGTGACGGGGTGGGACCTCTCACGCAGGCAGAAGTCCTAGAAAGGTCAATCCCATTGGAAAAGACAGATCTAACCAGGAGAGCCAGTCAAGTGGTAACAGTTCCTAATTCTTTCATCATCGACTCCTTCTCGGCCGGTTGGGGGGAGCATTCATTAGCAGCTTATAGGAAGGCGTTATTCTCAAATCCCTGGTTCCCTGCTACAGGCGGAAAAAGAGCTACTCGGAGCAATGCTGGAAACTGTTCTGTTGCTCTGGCCAGTGCAACCAGCGGCTCTAGAGATGTGGCGGAGGGTGTGGGGGTATGGGCGGTATCTGACTGTATACATTGCAAAGAGAATAGGAAAGCTATATTCCTTTCCTGCTAGGAGAGGCATACAACTCTGATACTTTTCTTGCTTATAATTTTTTTATGGATGGCGAATTGATATTTACTTTAAGAAAAAAGTTCTTTCTTAAATATTCATCCTATGCAAAAATATTTTTCTCTTTCACACCTAGACAAGCTGATTCAATATCAATAAGAGGCACGTGGACTCAAATTTTAAGGTTCGGGGAGCCATTTCAGCTCCCCATTTCTGGTTCTCTACCGAATGCCCTCCTAGCTGACTAAAGCCCTGACTGAGTCACAGCCAGGGCAGTGGAATGTGGCAGCCAGCAGGCCTGGAGAAAGGTGGACTTCCCTTCCCTCTCTGCATCCTGATCCTCACACTGTGGGCAAAGTCACTGCAGAGCAAGGATCCTCAGCAGGGTGGGGAGATTAGCAGTTGTGGGGGACAGTGTAACCTGGGGAGCCACCTAAGACTTAGAAAGAAACCTTGTCACTGGCCTTAGGAGCTCCCCCAGGTGCTGGATGCCAAGAGTTATTCCTTGTCATTTGAATTCCAACCACTGCTACCTTCTCCTTTCTCCATCCCTCTCTTCCTCCTCTCTCCCTCCTCGTGGTCCCCTTCCCTCTCTCTCCCTATAGCAGTTGGCATTAGGTTTTTTCCCTGGCATTTTGACATCTGTACAAAATAAAAAGGAAAGGACAAAATGAGTAAGACCTTAGACTTGAAGACCCATTTAAAAAAGAAAGAAAGAAATGAATTTACTTTCACAGGAACTTAGCAGAGACTCCCTGTGAGACCCGCAGTGCGCCTCATTCTGTCTCAGAGGCTCTGCTGGCTGTCTTTCCATACAGTCTCCTTTCTCTTGTACACTTTCTAAATCTCCTTTCGGGTCTTTGTCCTGACAGTACTCTAGTTTGGCCCCTTCTTCCTAAGCCCAGGTAATTCCTGGAAGATCTTTCCAAAGCCCACAGGTTTGCATTGCACATTTGGATTCAAGAGAAATCCCCATGACATGGTCTAGAATGGAAAGCACAAACCTCAGAGTGGCACTCGGCTTTGTCATCACAGAACATGAGGCAAGAGGGGACAAACGTGTGCCTACATTTACTTTCGTTATTTTGGATTCCTTGGGGCTTCCAGGCCCTAAGACCTGGAATACATTAGGCTGACGAACAGTGGATAATATACAGGAGAGGGAATGCAGAAAAGAAAATGGGTGGGCACCACAGGAGAGCAAAAGAACTTTGGAGGGTTCGATTAAAAATAACTTGAGTCTCAGATTCATGCATTCCTGTGAGATTTTGATTTATTTCATGAAGTGATATCTCATCAATATTTTACGTCATTTTTTTTTTCTTTTGGGAGTTCAGGAAGTGGATGATGTTGGTTGATAATACAGAGACAAAAGGAGTGGAGCTCAGTAGTAAATTATGAAGAGGGAGCTGGAAAGTGCGAGATGTGTTTCTATGGACTGTAGCAACCTTAAAGGCGCTGGCAGTACCTGTCTACATCACTAGTTCTAGGCAGTCGCATACATTGCTCAGAGTTCTTTAGGAAATCTTAGCATCTTAGGCATGGTATGTATATATTTTAAATTTTTGAATGAGTCAGATACCTTTCAACATACTGCTACCAATAGAAAGTGGACGGGAAAAAGTTAGTCAAATTAAAAGTTAGGATAACAAATTCTAGGCAATTAACCAAATTAAATGAAAAAAAATGGAAGATTTAGACCTCATGGGCAAGAGTCATCTAATTGGAGAGTTTAGAATTCTAGAAAGGAAGAAAAAAGAATCAATCACACCAGATCCTTGCTAGGTGCTTCAAAGGAGATCCATGCAAGAAGGAGACAGTTTGCATGTGTGCATATGCATGCAGCATGCAGAGAGAGAGAGAGAGAGAGAGAGAGAGAGAGAGAGAGAGAGAGAGAGAGAGAGAGAGAGGTGTTTTGTATCTCTTCGTGGGGTCATCATCTAACGGTCTTTGTGATGCACATTCTAAATTAGGCAAAGGGGTGCATCTTTCAAATGCAGATCATGTTTGCATTAGAAGAGCAATGAGAACACTTGTCAGTTTCAGAACATTTATGTGCGAGAAGTACTGTTAGCAGAAGAGCAGTTTAGATAAATTCGAGACTTTTTTTGCTGATCACAAACGTTAAGCTTCACACCTGAAGCCCTCAACCCCCTGCTGCGCTCTAATCCTAGCACCATTCACCCTTAGAGACTCGGAGTGCTGCGCCTCGGCTCTCAAACCTTTGATTGCCCTTAGTTTGAATGCCACCACCTGCAAAAATGCCTTTTTATTCCCTTTGAGCCTCTCGAGAAGGAAGTAAAAATGATAATTCATGACAAACATTAATTAATTGTTTACAAGATGATCTTTTCTTCTTCCAACTTCTGCTCAGCAGACATGGCGAACTGCAAGCGCCCACTCGCGACGCCAGAATCCGTTAAGAGGCCTGCATTGTTGTTTCTCACTGAGGCATAGGACCCGCCACAGGCCATTGTTTCTCCAGCTCAAGTGGGCCTGTCTGGTTCCTGTCGGAAGAATGGGGGTGACATGCGTGAGTTCCATTCTATAAAAGGACTGCTGGTTCGGGGAGAACGGGAGTTTAACGCTAATGCAGAGTAAATAAACATTTTTCACCATCTCTTTCTCCACGTGAGTCTTAAAGGTCAAGGGCCGCCATTACAGTGTTTTAAAAGCTTCAAATTACATTTAAAGAAGGTATAGCTAAACTCACAGGGGCCTTATCAGAACGGAGGGGAGTCGACCGTGATTGTTTGGTCCTTGAGTTGCTCATCACGGGAAGGTGGGCGGCGAGAGGAATGCAGATGCCCTGTTTGTCTGAGGTCCTGCTCCGACGACTCTGTTCAAGCCCTTCCGATTTTTCTTCCAAAACAGAGAAAGCGTCCAGAGGCTTGAATTTCAAATTTTTCTACCATTGATATTGCTGGTCAAATATGTTGGACAGACGAAAATTAGGACGCTGGAGGCCTTTTTCCTGAAAAAGTTCGGAGGCAAAGAAAGAGCCAGGTTCCTGCGAACCCCCCAGACGTCTATTTGAGAGGCAGAGGGAGCTTTCTATTTTAAATTAAAGAATAAAAAGCTTACTTCAAGGAAGTGTAGAGTCACCGCAGAAAGACTTCCTCAGACCCAGGTTTTCAGATTTCAAATTACGAGCCCTTAGATCAGGGCCGCTGGGCGAAAAAAAAATCAATTCTATATTTTCCGAGTTAATACTAAGGATTGCACTTAGCAGACACAGAGACTAATAAGGTATGCAGAAAGAGTATGGCAGCGCGCACACACAAATTCAGGCCTTGGTTTTGGCCATGATCCAGCACAATGATGTTTCAACCAGATTTGAAAAAAAAAAAAAATCAATAACATCTGTGGTATAATGGTTAATTAAAGCAGCCCTTCAGCAAAGCTCAGGAGGAGAGGCTCGGCCTGAAATTCAGACAGCTGAAGCCTGATTATCAGGAAAGAATGCTTTTTTAGCTGTGAGTGGATAGGCCAAAAGCTGCAATGTGCCGAAATGGGGGAGAGAAACTGCTTTTATTTTAACTTTCTTTAAGTAATCAATACCTGCTTTTTCACCTGCATTAGGGTGCAGCTCAGCCCCGAGCCTGTTACTCCACTTCAGCAGAGATTCCAGCTACTGTCTTTTGAACCTGGGGTTTCAGAGAAGTCCCCCATCCCCTCTAAAGCCAAAGGAAATAATATGCAGGTTTGGGCCTGTGTTCTTGAAACCAGTTAAAGCTCGGGCTTTCGGAAGGTCCGAAGGGTTTAATCTGTAAGCTGCGCTGAAAGCTGACCTGACCTTGGGGCAAACAGAGGTCACAGCCAAAGCACTAAGGCCCCAAAAATCTACTACATAACCTTAAAGAAGCCAGGCTAGCCAGGTTCAATCTGCCCCTCTTTCTGTCTTCCTATTTTAAGTGCTATCCTGGGGGTGTTTTCCTTTCCCCTTCCATGGACAAAGGTCGAAGAATCAGCAAGGCCTGTTCTAACCTTAGAGGATAAGGTCAGCAGATGGCTCCTCTAAAGAAATCTTGGTAACACCCCTGACCCTGACAACTTTCTGGGCACCTTGCTCTGCCTTCCCCGTCCACTATCGTTCCCGGTTAGCAGCATCCGCACCTGTATACCATCACAGTATACCATACTGACCAGTCTCAAGAATTGCAAAACCGTGTTGTCATCTCCGGGTCACATTTTGCCGCAAGAATACTGTATGCCGTTTGTAGGGTCGTTTATCCGCTCAGCACATCTTCTTCCATTCCAAGCATGCGCCCTGTCCTGACTGGCTCCTGCCAAGGAAGCTTGTAGTTTATCTAAGGCCGTGTGCTCATAGACAACTAATGGACCACACAGTGGGACATATCTTCAATGGAGTGGTGTGCGGGACAGGTAAGGACTTTGGAGTTCGGGAAGGGCAGAGTGAGGGGTGGAACTTTAAGGAGCAATGTCGATGGAGTAGACGGTTGGAGGCTGAGACGAGAGAGGACGGTAAACAGGACCTTTACAGTTCCTAAATAGTTGTGTGAACTACGTGGAGTCATTCTCAGAAGCATGCGCGCTGAGGAACTGATGCCAATGATCTGCAAACTCTGCAGAGCTAAGCTTTGCATCTTGGTTCATCTTCCCCCTTTAAGGGCTATCAAGACCAGAGATAGAATGTCTTGTTGGACCTGACCTGGTGGTGCTTTCGTGTGAGCCAAGCTGCTCAAGAGGCCAAGGCAAGAAAATCAAAACATTAATACAGCCTGGGCTACAGAGCGAGTACAAGGCCAATCTGTGTAGTGAGAGCCTGAACTTTTAAAAAAAACAGCAGAGAGAGGGACGAGGAGACAGCTCAGAAGAGCTCTTGCCTAGCACCCACAGGATCCAAGGTTAATCCTCAACACTACTAAATAAATAACGAGTAAAACAAACTCCCTTCTTTTTCTCTAACACACCAGTTCTTTCATCTGATCCACATTGAAATTCACTGTAGTTTCTCAAAGTTTAATGCAGCTCTTGGCTTTTTCCTCTCTATTTTCTATTTTCATCCAATTAATTTTCTTTTCAACTTTCTCCACATAGTTTTTTTGAATTCCTTTCCTTCCCCTACAATTTTCAAACTCTGAATTTAAAGAAACCAAGAAGCTGGCCTGCCAGTGTACTATGCATTGCATTACAATAACTCTGAAGTACACTTTAGAACTAACACTTGAAATGTTGGTCTTCCATTTACTGGGCGATTTTGCATGAGTAATATGAACTCTCTTGGTTTCAGCTCCACATCCGAAAAAGGGGCATAATACAGTAACTACCTCATCGGGTGGTAATGTCGTCCCGTACTTTGATCTTGGAAAGTGTTGAGAACTGTACCTAGCAATGAAGAACCACTAAGCCAGTGTTCAGTCACAATTATCACAACTTGTTTACCATGTGATTCTCTGATCTCATTTACTTTTTATTATACTCTTGATAGTTATTTTTACTGTTTCAAATACAAACAACCCAACGATGCAGCTCAACTTTTCCATGCTTCCATATGGATGAATTCTCAACTACCACTTTGAATTTGATTTTTTTTCTTTAAATGCTCTAATAATTCATCCTTTGAGTCAGCTAGTTACTTATCATTTTTCACTTCTTAATGTCTTAAAAGATTTATTTATGTTTATTTTATATGTCTGGATGTTTCGTCTGCCTGTGTGTCTGTTCACGACATGCAGGCCTGATCCTTTGGAGTCCAGAAGAAGCACTGGATCCCCTGGAATTTGAACGTCAGATGGCTATGAACCACCATGTGGGTGCTGGGAATTGAGCCCAGGTCCTCTGCAAGATCAGCAAGTGATCTTAATGGCTGAGTCATCTCTGCAGCCCCTACATTTTTTATTTCATTACATGTTGTGGGATATCTGTACACTCTGTGGAAATGCATTGCTGTGATTTGTATAATCAAAAGCAGAAAAACCAATAACTCGGCAGGAGGTATAGGCAAGATTTCTGGGGAGAGAAAGGAAGAGGAGGAAGAATTGAGGCATGCAGGAAACTTGTAGAGGAAGCAGGAGGTGCAAGATGGAAGAGAGGTAACACCACATGGTAGGAGGTAGATTAATATAAATGGGTTAATTTAAGTTATAAGAGCTAGTTAGGAACAAGCCTAAGCAATAGGTCAAGCTTTCATCATTAATAAGATGTCTCCATATCATTATTTGTGAGATGGTGTTATGGAGAAAAACTCCTTACAGTTATCCATATTTAAAAATAATTTTTAAATTATGTTGTCATATTTTCTTTCTTAGAAAAGGAATGGCATTTGCCTTTACATTTCTTGTGCAGTTTCTATGATCTTGAATCTTGAGACCATGTCCATCCATTCGTTCTTACTTTTGTCTTCCTAATTTGGCCTGTGGGCTCTTCCTTAGAAGTAGTATAATTACGTTAGTAGAATACAAGTAGTATAATACACTTTTGCAGCTAGTTGGTTCGGGCCACACCTTTAATTCATTTTGAATTAAATAAAAATTTAAATGTGGATTTTTAAGCAATTATCAATTTAAGCACCATGTTAGCTAGCTGCTGGGCGTACCAAGGTATGAAGTGTTTCAGCACCCTCTCCCCTAAAATAAGATCACAGTTAGGCAGTTTAGGGGGTGAGGTTCTAAAAACCTACCAGGAATCCCAGAACCTCTCTTTCTCTTCTATTTTGACTTTTACCCTCCCCGTGACATCACATGGTATAAGACTGTTAATGAAACATCAGCTGCATCGTTAGCCAAGACAGCAGATCAGAAGATGGTTGTAAAGGAAGAAAAGGGGAAGACCTTTTCCTTGAGGAGTCCTCCCAAAATTCTTATTTATCTATCCTGATTTCCTAGAACTTTGTCACACAGCTAAGAAAACCTGAGAAATAAAGGGCTTTTTCTCCTGGGATCATTCATTGAACAGAAAAAAAAAAAAAAAAAAAAAGTCAGACTTCTAGGTCCAAAAAGAAGTGGGGAACACACCTTAGTGCCAGACTGGTGGACTCTGGCAGAGGAGCTCAGAGTTAGGGGCAAAGGCAGACCGGTGAACAATGGCTGCCCTGCAGTGAAATGAGTACTGGTGAGTTTAGCACCAAGTCACAGGTATCTTGTTCTTAAGGCTTCATCTGGTGATTGGACTCCGTCTGCTACAGAGGTTTCCTTGCTCCTTTCTACTTTCCGCTTCCACCCAGTTACCATGTCCCGGGCGCCCCCGAAGTGAACCTCCCCAGAAGGACCTCCCCGGATTCGCCAAGCTTGGTGCTTCTCTCCCGTACAAGTCAGGAAGTCGCTGAGGGCAGCAGTGGGATTTGGTTATCTTTAAAAAGAATGTGCTTAGCTTGGGAAGTGGTCAGGGGTTGCTGGTAGCGGACTTACATTTGAAAACCCAATTTTAAAAGACCATTAAACAATCAATCCCCAGCTTCAAACCACTGGAAGATATTTACCTCCTTCTCTATGTCCGCCCATGAAGAATAGCTTCTCCAAAGTTCTTATGTTGTCTTCTCGATGGCATTCAACTCTGGACACATCTTTTAACTTCTCTGGCCAGTGTTCCTATTTTGTTTCCTTTTATAATGCTCCTATTCTGAGAATTCCGAGCATGAACAAATGGGAATGTGTTTTGAAGAGAACATTAGTTTAGTGTTCTGCTAAAGCCCTTATAAGTCATAATCATTGTGGGATTTCTATATGTGAAGGAAAAATGAAAAAATGTATGATGTAGATTTTTGCACATGCTAGTGAAGACCCAACCAAGTCGGAAAATACTTTGGAAATAATAGCAAATCTGTGTTCTCACTTATACACATTTAGGTAAACAGAAAGGCATGCATGTTTGCTAATATATTTTCATTAGGACTGCTGAAGAAAGGGGGAGATAGCTTCTGTTTTTATAGATAGGAAAGAAATACATTCACATATGAGACCACAGGAGACATTTTCATTGGGAAATAGGAAGATGGATGTAATAAAGTGTGTATCTCAAGCAGAGAGGCAGCTCATAGATGTTAGGAAGCATGTTAGCTGAAACATCTCGTAACAGGTATGTTGAGAATAATCCAGTCACCCAACAGAGGTAATCTGTAAGAAATAATGGGAAAATAGTAGGAACGAGGATTGAGCCAGAACGAACTGAATACTGCAGAGAAGGTGAGGGTGACCTGCAACAAGAGACTGATGCTTACGCATTCAAAGCCTGCAGGTCAAACAAATTTTGCCACTACGTTTAGTTCATTTCTAAATTAAACTAATTTAGTTTTTATTTTTTAGATTCATTTTACTTAAGAAAATACAACAATAGACTCCTGGCCAGTTAGCTAGCAGGGTCATCCGCTAAGGGCTGCCTATTACAGATCTTAATCTTTAGAAAGCTTTTTTTCCCCTGCTTTTCAAGTTCAACCATTGTGTACAAAATACACCATTAGAACCAATAGTTATTCCTAGCACTGTTCATCTCAAAAAGCCTGTTACATATTAAAAAATTAATGTAAATATGATTCAAGGATGTAAGTAATATATAAAATAGCTCGCACTTCCTAGATAAAGGAATAAGGCAAAATCTCTTATGTAACATCCACTCCAAAGAAAGGTGGGGATAGGGGTAATTAAATCTACAATGAAATAAAAGAAACTCTTAATATAAAAAAGTCTGTCTTTTATTTTTAAAGGAATCTCTTATCTTTAAACCAGATAGTAGGATAAAACTTAATATAAGTGGCTTGTCTTGGACTCGCTGTGCTGTGTCATTGTTAGACATTCTTGAGCATCATCTGTGTACCCTAACTTATGGCCACCATCCTTCTTCCCGTCTAACTTCTCAGTCTCAGCATATATGAAATTTGCAGGCTAGCTTCACACTCCTCTCATGCTCATCTGAGAAAAAGGGTGCAAGTGTTCACAGACTGAGCAATTCCATCTCTAATGTCTTACACACCCAATACTCTGATTATCCGCTCTCAACACTCCTAAAGACAGAGGAAGAGCATCTTGATCTGATTAAAACTAATAGCTTGATGTCAGCATATCGGAGGAATTGTTTTTATGAATTCCAAGACTAAGGAAACTTTGAGGGGGAAAAAAGAGTAAAAAGTTTGTTCTTTATCTCAACAAAGAAAAGAATCTTCCATTCCCGTGCCCAATACTTTGGGCTGGCTCATACCACAACTGCTCCGAGCTTTCTTTTTTCTCTCCGTCCCCACCCTCCAAAGCTGAGGACCGAACCCAGGGTCTTGTGCTTGCTAGGCAACTGCTCTACCACTGAGCTAAATCTCCAACCCTTGGGTGCTTTCTTTCTTGACTGGG